CCCCCCCCCTCGTCTCTCCAAAGGGCTTTCACTAATTGCATACATTTTCACAGCAATAGATAATGGAACAGAAGTAAACGAAGCATAGTTTATTGCATGCTGCTTTTATCACTTAAATTACAGCATACTTAGTCTTCATTAAATCATATTTCATCTTTTAAGAGCAGATGCTGTAGATTATTCTGAAGAATAGGCAATTTAATTTCATTAGGACTTTTTCAAAGTTTGTTTTATAACTTTTTTTTTTGTTTGAGACTGTATACAGTAGGTCACTGGGTAATGAGTTCCAATCAGCTTGATTGTGATCACTGATTCTCTTTTAGTTTTTCTGTCTCATTCTTGAATGGATTAAATTAACTCCAACTCCAACCCACAATTAATAGACTAATTAAACTGTAATTCAAAGAATATTTCTTTAGTACTGCTTGAGTACAAATTACAACTTTAAAATGACAACTTCATTGATACTCAAGAGGGCAAAACATTGGATGATCGAAGTAAACTGTATTTATTTAGTCTTCTGCAGATTATGTCTTATGAAGCTTCCCAAAGAGCAGTACTAAATGAATGAGATGTTTAAATAAAAGTGTGAAAATATAGATCTTAAAATCATACACCGATGAAAAGGGTTCAAATATGCAGAAGATGCTGGAAAACCAAAGAATGTGCAGTACCTGGAGGAGTTTTCTGAAGAACAGTGGGCATTTTAACAGATTTTGAACAGATATCCCAAAATAATAAAACAGTTGTTGATCATCCAGGTGAGGACGCACTGTATTAAGAATCAAACATATGTATCCCCGGTTTCACAGATGATACTTAAGCTTAGTCCCAGACAAAAAAGTAAGTCTGAGCTGTTTCAACTAAAAGAAATTTGCACTGATTGATGTTAAAATATGTCAGTGCCCTTGTTTTTTTTTTTTTCAAGATGCACACCAGTAATGTTTTTTTTTTAAGGCATGTTTATAAAAATTACTTAAATGTCCTAATTGAACTATGGCCATATCCTGGCTTAGTCTAAGCCCTGTCTGTGAAACCAGGCAGTAACTTTTGAACTAAGTCGTATTTGTAAATTCAGATATTATTTGTGTTTTGAACTACACATCTATTATATGAAATCACTTATTCACACTACATGGAAAACAGCATGCATTTTGCAGATTCTGCAAGGTGCATGTAAATGTGTGACCACAACTGTGTGCATATATGTACACACTGCCATTCAAAAGTTTGGGGGTGATTTTTTTTTTCATGTTGATTAATGATTTGGTACTTAAGAAAGATTTCTTATTATTACCAATATATGTAGTTTTTTTTAGTTATATAATTT